GGAGAGAGAGAGGGTGAGAGTAAGGGAGGGAGAGATCGACAGCCTCAAGCTTGACAGGTGAAACATTCACCGAGTCTTGCTGTACCCAAACGACCGAACGAGACAACCTCAAATCTCGGCCACTCTACCCACTTCGGTCTGGCCAACCGACCAGCCGAACAGCCGAACAGCCGACCAGCCGACCGACCGCCCGTCCACCAGGTCAGCCGATCCCGGCAGACTGAGGCGGCGCTGTTGGGCCTAAGATCGCGCCTCCGATAGATCGTGATTGGCGTGTTAATGTGGCCTGGCCTTGTTTGCCCAACTTTGCTGTTTTGTCAAGGCCGACGAGATGAGCCCACCTCGTTCGAGGTCGCCTGCTCGAGTGGTCTTCATCATTTCCAACATCGCACCTTAAACTTGGTACATTCTGAGAAGTTGCGTGGCTATCGTCAGTCAGTCAGCTTTGCTAGTCTCGACGCCAAACCACAACTCGTCAAAGCGATACCTCAAGTCCACGTTTTGCTCAACAGTTGTGATATCCATTCGTCTGCCCAGCCTTCAATTATAGTTAGTCTATTTTCACCGATTCCCGAGGTGTTCTCCTTTTCGGTACATTTCTTGCGACATATTCACACCCCTCGCTGCTTCCCTCAGCCCTCAGCCCTCAGCCCCCTGCCCCATGCCCCCCTTTTGCAAATGCTGAAGATGCTTATCCAAACTGAGTCGTTTAAGTCTGCAATCCACTTCAACCAGATCATATCAAACTCCCTTTCTTGTCATGAAATATCTGTACTTTATCTCCACGGTTTCGTTTTCGTTTTCGTTTTCGGTTTCGGTTTCGCTGTATCGAAGTTATTTGGACTCGTTTATTTTAACCTGGTCGTGTTGTCAAGATGACCATGTCTAAATATTTCTGTCCAAGTTGTCATGATACTTTCCACTTTCCGACAGCGCATATACAACATTCGTAGACTTCTAGCTGGCCGCATAGTCGGGGCATCGTCAATAGGCCTCTTTCCAGCATCAAGACACAACTCGTGTTGGAGTAGGGTTTCGAGACTACCAGTAAATCAGTGTAATGATATGTATTCACCCTATTTCATTTAAGGTGATGAAGGACTGGTAGTAGAATTTTCATACAATCATATGAGTTGAGCTGACGTTTCCATTGAATTTCACATAGACTTGTTTTCCCAAAAGTTGAAAACAACTTTAATTGTGGGAAAAGTCTACTACCATTCCTTAATCACCTCAGACGAAATAGGGTGAATACATCTCATACAACTCGTGGAATTGCCCTAAATTCACGGTGAGAGGCTGTATGACTTCGGCAGATGATTTCGAACAAGGTACGTTCCTTTATGTTGTCCTGACAACACGAGCGTATTGCAAGACTGAGAAGATTGTAA